ATGCTAAGAGGGTATGCAAGGTCAGGTAGAGTGCAGGTCATCAGGTACATGAGGCAGCCGACAAGCTCTGGGTACGGGCCACTCGACTCTACGGACTCATCCGAAGGCAGAGCTGAGAGCGAGTGGCGTGTAGGCAGAGGAGTGGCCTGAGGCGAGGAGTACGTGAAGCCGAAGCGCTGAAGGACCTGCTGCACCATGTGTGACTGAGTCAGGGTAATGGTGCGTTGTGCTCTGTCCCGTGGCTCTAAACGCAGGAGGGATTAGGGACCATAGTACGCGGTTCTAAGATGTAGTATGGATCATCGACCTTATTACGCGGCCCAAGATGCAGGACAGGTTAGCGACCTTCAAGCGGTTATGATTAGCTGAATAGACAAGCTACTTCCAAGAGGCGTTTCAAGGACGTACGACAATTTTGTAACTTTCAGAATGTACCACCTGACGGAACAGCAATCTTAACAAGTGCCTCAGCCGGTCACTTTGCTCGACCTTTCCTTCGACGTCGTGCTAACACGCTGCTTACTACCGTCTGCGCACGCGACCTTTCATCCAGCCCTCCTATTTCCCGATTTTGCCTGTCGTCGGCGTTCGCTGGCGTTTGCCGAGTTTGTCTGCTTTCGCAGAGTGCCTCTGTAGTTAGCCGAGTTCGTTGCCGCCATTTCCGGTGTGTCTCTGCCCCTCGCCGAGTTTCGTTGTTGTTCGCCAAGTTTTATCCCGGCATTCGCCAAGTTTCTCTGCTATTTGCCGGATTCTGTTGGTGCTAGCCGACTTCTGGTGCCGTTCATCGAGTATCGCGGCCTTTCGCACAGCTGCTGCCGTTCGCCGACGCAGTTGTTCGCCGAGTTTCTCTACCGTTCATTACGCTTCACTGATTTTGCCGAGTTTCGCTGCTGTTCGCGAAGTTTGCTTCGAGAAATGACGGCGAAGGATAAAGAAGCACGGCGGAATGAGCAACGCGTGCAAGGGATTGAAGGTGGCTTGACAGTGGCAGCAGCAGGGTGAACGATCGACGCGGATTTACCCCAGCGGGTTTCAACCGCGGGTTGAAGCCGGGTGGTATCGGCAGCAGCAGTTGTGTTTGACTGCGCAGGGATTCGAAGCACGCTGACTACAGCGGAGCGGATTCGAAGCACGTTGGCAGCAGGAGAGCGGCCGTCGAAGGTGCGTGTGCGTGCAGGGCATGTGGGGGGGCGCGTAGGATGTAGGAGTCCGCCGCGTAGGTGTCTTGAGTCGTCAGCTGCTCCTGCTCCCCGTCGTCCTTGTTTCCGCGCTGCTCTGATGCATCTTTACTCTCTCCTGTCGTCTGTGCTCGTGTGCTCTCTGTGTGGGTATGGAGCGAGGGAGGGGGGGTGGAGCACAGGAGATGCAGTAGCAGGAGCAGCAGGAGCAAGAGCGCGCGAGTCAGCCGCGCGAGAGACAGACATCATAACGGCATGTAAAGGTGCGTACTTACGGAGGGCAAGTGGGGGGGCGCAGAAACAGTCTAGGTCGCCGCGCGGCAAGTCTTACAATCAGATTTTGTTTTCTTCGCGTCAGTTTCCTCTCATGCTTCTGATACGCTCTCTTGTGTGCTTGTTCCTGTGCTGTGCTGTGCTGTGTTCGCTGCTGTGCTTGGGGAGACTCCTTGACTGAGAGGCCTACGGACGCTTCAACACCCTTGCCAACGCGTGGCGGTGCATCGTGTCCCAAGGAGGGGCTCTGCCAGTAACCATCGGACTGCTGACGCTTCTCGGAATCTGCCTAACTATGGCAGCAGGGTGAGTGAATTGGCCGAGTCTATCAGGGGGGAGAATAGCAGTCTAGGTCGCCGTGCGGCAAGTCTCAAACCGGAATTCGTTTTTTTTTTTTTAAGAGTCTGTTTCCGCTGCTGCTTCTGACCCTCTCTCCTGTGTGCTCGTTTCTGTGCTGTGTTCACTTCTGTGTTCTCTGCTGCTCCTCCTTTATTGAGAGGCATTGACATGCTCGCTGACTTCCGCAGAGCTCCGGCCGTTCGCCGACGAGTTTTTCTACCGTGCAATACGTTTCACTGGTTTCGCTGCCGTTCGCGAGGTGCAAGAAATGACCGCCAAGGATACAGCACGGCGGAACGCAGAGCAACACGTGCAAGGAATCGACGGTGGTTAGACAGTGGCAGCTGAGGGGTGAACGATCGACCTTAGTGCAGCAGCGTCTGAGAGAGCGGCGACGTGGTTTCGGCCCGCTGGGTGGTATCGGCAGCAGCAGTCAGTTGTGTTTGACTGCATGCAGATTCGAAGCACGCTGACGTCAGCAGAGCGGATTCAAAGCACGCTGACAACTCCAGAGCGGCAAGCGAAGGTGCGTGCGCGCGCAGGGCGAGAGGGGTGGGCAAGAGGAGATGTAGGAGTCCGCCGCGTAGGTGTCTTGCGTCGCTGTTTATTCTTATTACTCGTCGTCCTTGTTTCCGTGCTGCTCTGACGCATCTTTGCACTCTCCTGCCGTCTCTGCTCGTGTGGTCTGTGTGTGGAGGTAGGGAGGAGGGGTGGAGCACGGGAGGTGCAGGCGCAGCGCCTTATCGGAGCATAAGCAGCAGGAGCAGAAACGGGCGAATCAGCAGCGCGAGGGACCGACATCATAACGGCATGCAAAGTTGCGTGCGTACGGAGGACAAGTGGGGGGGGCAAAAGCAGTCTAGGTCGCCGCGCGGCAAGTCTTCGAATCAAATCTCGTTTCCTTCGTCATTTTCTTTTCATGCTTTTGAGACATTTTCTTGTGTGCTTGTTCCTGTGCTGTGTTCGCTGCTGTGGTTGGGGGGGCTCCGTGACTGAGAGGCCCACGCACGCTTCCGGCCAAAGCGTGGCAGTCCTGCCAAGGCGTGGCGGAGAGGGGCTATGCCAGTAACCATCCGACTGCTGAGGCGTTTCGGAATCTGCCTCACCATGGCAGCAGGGTGAGTAAATTGGCCAAGTCTATTGGGGGGGATCATAGCAGTCTAGGTCGCCGTGCGGCATGTCTCAGACCGGAATTCGCTTTTTCCCGAGTCTGTCTCCACTGCTGCTTCTCTCGCACACTCTCCTCTGTGCTCGTTGCTCTGCTGTGTTCGCTGCTGCGCATTTGTGATTGAGAGGCATTGACACGCTCTCAGGCTTACCCATGGGCAGTGCGTCTTCAGGAGGCGCTGTGCGAGTAGGGACCCGCCTTCTGAGCCGTCTCAGGTTCTGGCTCACCATGGCAGTGCTGTAAGTGACTGGGCTGGTCTATCGGGGGGGCAGAAGTGTCTAGGTCGCCGCGCGGCAAGCGTCTTAGAATCAGCTTCTGTTTCTTTCAAGTCTATTTCCTCTGTTGCATCTGACACGTTCTCGTCTATGTTTTCTTCTGTGTTGGCTGCTCTGGTTTGAGAGTTCTGCGTGTGGAATGGGGCAGGAGAGGAGGCCAGAGGGGTCAGGCGACTGACCTCCGAGCAGCAACAGCAGCACGGAGGGAAAGGAGCAAAACGTCCAGTACAGCACAGTAAGCTGTTGTCCAAAATATTGGGGGTTAGAGCACTGTCAGTCACCGCGCGGCAAGTCTTAGAACCGATTTCGAGTCCGTTTCCACTGCTGCCTCTCATGCTCGTTTCTCTCCTCTCTGCACGTGTCTGTGCTGTGTGCGGTGCTGTGGTGCCAGTGCCTCCTGCACTGAGGCTCAAGGGCACAGCAACAGTCGTGCCACAAGATGGTGCTTCCTGGAAAGGTGCTGTGCGAGTTAGCATCCGCACCACACGGCTCGCCACGGCAGTACGGTAAGTCAATGGGCTGGTCTATCGGGGGGGCAGTAGTGTCTAGGTCGCCACGCGGCAAGTCTTAGACGCGATTTCTGTTTCTTTCGAGTATTTTTCTGTTGCAGCAGCTTCTGATGCAGTCTCCTCTTTGCTTGCGTCTGTGCTGTGTTCGCTGCTGTGGTGCCGGTGTGTGCCTCCTGCACTGAGGCCCAAGGACACAGCAACATTCTTGCTACAGGGTGGTGCTGCTGTGCGAGTTAACATCCGCACCACATGCCTCAAAGCATGGCTCACCATGGCAGTACGGTAAGTCACTGGGCGGGTCTATTGGGGGGGATCAGAAGTGTCTAGGTCGCCGCGCGGCAAGTCTTAGAGTTGATTCTTGTTGCTTTTAAGTCTGCTTCCACTGCTGCTTCTGATGCTCGCTCCTCTCCTCTCTGCTCGTGTTTGCTGCTGTTGATCTGTTGCCTCATGCACTGACGCCCAAGGACACTGCAACGGCCATGCCAAGGGGTGGTGCTTCTCAAACGAGTGCTCTGCAAGGCCCAAGGACGCCCCAACAGTCATGCCTCGAGATGGTGCTATTACGAGATGTGCTGTGGGAGGGAGGATGCTCACCACATGGCTCGCCATGGCAATACAGTAAGTCATACGACGGGTGTAATGGGGGGACGAGGAGTCTAAATCTCTGCGCGGCATGGCTTAGTATCAATTCTTGTTTCTTTCGAGTCCGTTTCCGCTGCTGCTTCTGACGCACTCTCTTCTGTGCTCGTGTCTGTTCTGCGTTGGCTGCTGTGGTGCCAGTGTGTGCCTCCTGCTCTGAGGCCCAAGGACACAGCAACAGTCAAGCCAAGGGGTGGTGCTTCTCGGAGAGGTGCCGTGCGAGATGGTGCTGTGAGGATGCTCACTGCATGGCTCATAGCATGGTTCACAGGGCAATACAGTAAGTCATTAGGCGAGTCTATTGGGGGGACAGAAGTGTCTAGGTCGCCGTGCGGCAAGTCTTAGAATTGATTTCTGTTTCTTTCGGGTCCTTTTCCGCTGCTACTTCTGACGCACTCTCTTCTGTGCTTGTGTCTGCTGTGTTCGCTGCTGTGGTGTCGGTGTGTGCCTCCTGCACTGAGGCCCAAGGGCACAGCAACAGTCATCCCAAGGGGTGGTGCTTCTCAGAGAGGTGCTGTGGGAGATGGTGCTGTGAGGATGCTCACTGCATGGCTCGTATCATGGCTCACAGGGCAATACAGTAAGTCTTTAGGCGAGTCTATCGGGGGGGCAGATGTGTCTAGGTCGCCGTGCGGCAAGTCTTAGAATTGATTTCTGTTTCTTTCGAGTCCTTTTTCCCTGCTGCTTCTGACACACTCTCCTCTCTACTCGTGTCTGTGCTGTGTTGGCTGCTGTGGTGCCGGTGTGAGCCTCCTGCACTGAGGCCCAAGGGCACAGCAACAGGCATGCCAAGGGATGGTGCTTCTCGAAGAGGTGCTGTGCAAGGGAGGATCCGCACCACAAGGCTCGCCATGGCAGTACGGTACGTGGCTGGGCTACGCTATTGGGGGGGTGTCAGAAGAGTCTAGGTCGCCGCGCGGCAAGCCTTAATATTGAATACTGTTTCTTTCGAGTCTGTTTCTGCTGCTGATTCTGACGCATCCTCCCCTGTGCTCGTTCCTGTTCTGTGTTGGCTGCTGTGGTGCCAGTGTGTGCCTCCTGCTCTGAGGCCCAACAGCACAGCAACAGTGCGAGGGAGGATGCTCACCACATGGCTCGCCATGCCAATACAGTAAGTCGTACGACGGGTCTACTGGGGGGGCCGAAGAGTCTAGGTCGCCACGCGGCATTCTGACACAATCTCCTCTGTGCGCGTGTCTGCTGCTGTGTTTCCGAGTCCGTTTCCGTTGCTGCATCTGACACAATCTCCTCTGTGCGCGTGTCTGCTGCTGTGTTTCCGAGTCCGTTTCCGTTGCTGCATCTGACACAATCTCCTCTGTGCGCGTGTCTTCTGCTGTGTTTCCGAGTCCGTTTCCGTTGCTGCTTCTGACACAATCTCCTCTGTGCGCGTGTCTGCTGCTGTGTTTCCGAGTCCGTTTCCGTTGCTGCTTCTGACACAATCTCCTCTGTGCGCTTGTCTGCTGCTGTGTTGGCTGTTCCCCCGGGGAACTTGATGGGGGAACCTGATGGGGGAACCTGATGGGGGAACTGATGGGGGAACCTGATGGGGGAACCTGATGGGGGAACTGATGGGGGAACCTGATGGGGGAACCTGATGGGGGAACTGATGGGGGAACCTGATGGGGTAACCTGATGGGGGAACTGATGGGGGAACTGATGGGGGAACCTGATGGGGGAACTGATGGGGGAACCTGACGGGGGAACCTGATAGAGGAACTGATGGGGGAACCTGATGGGGGAACTGATGGGGGAACCTGATGGGGGAACCTGATGGGGGAACTGATGGGGGACCTTATGGGGTGGGGAACCTGATGGGGAACCTGATGGGGAACCTGATGGGGAAAGTGATGGGGAACCTGATGGGGAACCTGATGGGGAACCTGATGGGGAAAGTGATGGGGAACCTGATGGGGAACCTGATGGGGAACCTGATGGGGAACCTGATGGGGAACCTGATGGGGAACCTGATGGGGAACCTGATGGGGAACCTTATGGGGTGGGGAACCTGATGGGGAACCTGATGGGGAACCTGATGGGGAACCTGATGGGGAACCTGATGGGGAACCTGATGGGGAACCTGATGGGGAACCTGATGGGGAACCTGATGGGGAACCTGATGGGGAACCTGATGGGGAACCTGATGGGGAACCTGATGGGGAACCTGATGGGGAACCTGATGGGGAACCTGATGGGGAAGATAATGGGGAACCTGATGGGGAACCTGATGGGGAACCTGATGGGGAACCTGATGGGGAACCTGATGGGGAACCTGATGGGGAACCTGATGGGGAACCTGATGGGGAAGATAATGGGGAACCTGATGGGGTGGGGAACCTGATGGGGAACCTGATGGGGAACCTGATGGGGAACCTGATGGGGAACCTGATGGGGAACCTTATGGGGTGGCGAACCTGATGGGGAACCTGATGGGGAACCTGATGGGGAACCTTATGGGTTGGGGAACCTGATGGGGAACTTGATGGGGAACCTGATGGGGAACCTGATGGGGAACCTGATGGGGAACCTGATGGGGAACCTGATGGGGAACCTGATGGGGAACCTGATGGGGAACCTGATGGGGAACCTGATGGGGAACCTGATGGGGAACCTGATGGGGAACCTGATGGGGAACCTGATGGGGAAGATAATGGGGAACCTGATGGGGAACCTGATGGGGAACCTGATGGGGAACCTGATGGGGAACCTGATGGGGAACCTGATGGGGAACCTGATGGGGAACCTTATGGGGTGGCGAACCTGATGGGGAACCTGATGGGGAACCTGATGGGGAACCTTATGGGGTGGGGAACCTGATGGGGAACCTGATGGGGAACCTGATGGGGAACCTGATGGGGAACCTGATGGGGAACCTGATGGGGAACCTGATGGGGAACCTGATGGGGAACCTGATGGGGAACCTGATGGGGAACCTGATGGGGAACCTGATGGGGAACCTGATGGGGAACCTGATGGGGAACCTGATGGGGAACCTGATGGGGAACCTGATGGGGAACCTGATGGGGAACCTGATGGGGAACCTGATGGGGAACCTGATGGGGAACCTGATGGGGAACCTGATGGGGAACCTGATGGGGAAATTGATGGGGAAAGTGATGGGGAACCTGATGGGGAACCTGATGGGGAACCTGATGGGGAACCTGATGGGGAACCTGATGGGGAACCTGATGGGGAACCTGATGGGGAAGATAATGGGGAACCTGATGGGGAACCTGATGGGGAACCTGATGGGGAACCTGATGGGGAACCTTATGGGGTGGCGAACCTGATGGGGAACCTGATGGGGAACCTGATGGGGAACCTTATGGGGTGGGGAACCTGATGGGGAACCTGATGGGGAACCTGATGGGGAACCTGATGGGGAACCTGATGGGGAACCTGATGGGGAAGATAATGGGGAACCTGATGGGGAACCTGATGGGGAACCTGATGGGGAACCTGATGGGGAACCTGATGGGGAACCTGATGGGGAACCTGATGGGGAACCTGATGGGGAACCTGATGGGGAAGATAATGGGGAACCTGATGGGGAACCTGATGGGGAACCTGATGGGGAACCTGATGGGGAACCTGATGGGGAACCTGATGGGGAACCTGATGGGGAACCTGATGGGGAACCTGATGGGGAACCTGATGGGGAACCTGATGGGGAACCTTATGGGGTGGCGAACCTGATGGGGAACCTGATGGGGAACCTGATGGGGAACCTTATGGGGTGGGGAACCTGATGGGGAACCTGATGGGGAACCTGATGGGGAACCTGATGGGGAAGATAATGGGGAACCTGATGGGGAACCTGATGGGGAACCTGATGGGGAACCTGATGGGGAACCTGATGGGGAACCTGATGGGGAACTTGATGAGGAACCTGATGCGGAACCTGATGGGGAACCTGATGGGGAACCTGATGGGGAAGATAATGGGGAACCTGATGGGGAACCTGATGGGGAACCTGATGGGGAACCTGATGGGGAAGATAATGGGGAGCCTGATGGGGAACTTGATGGGGAACCTGATGGGGAACCTGATGGGGAACCTGATGGGGAACCTGATGGGGAACCTGATGGGGAACCTGATGGGGAAGATAATGGGGAACCTGATGGGGAACCTGATGGGGAACCTGATGGGGAACCTGATGGGGAACCTGATGGGGAACCTGATGGGGAACCTGATGGGGAACCTGATGGGGAACCTGATGGGGAACCTGATGGGGAACCTGATGGGGAACCTGATGGGGAACCTGATGGGGAACCTGATGGGGAACCTGATGGGGAACCTGATGGGGAACCTGATGGGGAACCTGATGGGGAACCTGATGGGGAACCTGATGGGGAACCTGATGGGGAACCTGATGGGGAACCTGATGGGGAACCTGATGGGGAACCTGATGGGGAACCTGATGGGGAACCTGATGGGGAACCTGATGGGGAACCTGATGGGGAACCTGATGGGGAACCTGATGGGGAACCTGATGGGGAACCTGATGGGGAACCTGATGGGGAACCTGATGGGGAACCTGATGGGGAACCTGATGGGGAACCTGATGGGGAACCTGATGGGGAACCTGATGGGGAACCTGATGGGGAACCTGATGGGGAACCTGATGGGGAACCTGATGGGGAACCTGATGGGGAACCTGATGGGGAACCTGATGGGGAACCTGATGGGGAACCTGATGGGGAACCTGATGGGGAACCTGATGGGGAACCTGATGGGGAACCTGATGGGGAACCTGATGGGGAACCTGATGGGGAACCTGATGGGGAACCTGATGGGGAACCTGATGGGGAACCTGATGGGGAACCTGATGGGGAACCTGATGGGGAACCTGATGGGGAACCTGATGGGGAACCTGATGGGGAACCTGATGGGGAACCTGATGGGGAACCTGATGGGGAACCTGATGGGGAACCCACAGCAGAATGGGGTTGCTGAGCACCGCATTGGCCTGGTCATGGAGGTCGCTCGTACCTCCTTGGTCCACGCGGCGGCTCCCCATTTTCTGTGGCCGTTTGCTGTCCGGTACGCCGCGCATCAGCTCAACCTCTGGCCCCGTGTCTCCTTGCCGGAGACCTCGCCCACACTGCGTTGGACGGGGGAGGTTGGCGATGCGTCGCGCTTCCGGGTGTGGGGTGCTCGTGCCCTTGTCCGCGATACGTCCGCGGACAAGCTCTCCTCCCGCACGCTTCCCTGTGTCTTCCTTGGCTTTGTCCCTGACGCGCCTGGCTGGCAGTTTTACCACCCCACCTCGCGCCGGGTCTTCGCCTCTCAGGATGTCACCTTTGACGAGTCGGTCCCTTTTTACCGTCTCTTCCCCTACCGCACTGCCCCCCTCCCTCCCCCGCCGCTTTTCCTTGCTCCTGGTCCCCCTCCGGTAGACCCCCTTCCCCCTCAGGGTCCTGCTCCTTCAGGTGTCTCTCAGGTAGACCCTCCTCCCGTCGCTGAGCCTGTCGAGTTCACAGGTGACTCAGGTGCTGCTGCGGGTGGTGCTGCTGGGAGTGCTGAGCCTGGGGGTGCTGAGCCTGGGGGTGCTGGGCCTGGGGGTGCTGGGGCTGCAGGTGCTGGGACTGAGGGTGCTGGAGCTGAGGGTACGGTGCCTGAGAGTACGGAGCCTGGGGGTGCTGAGCCTGGGGGTGCTGAGCCTGCGGGTGCGGGGCCTGGGAGTGCTGGGACTACGGGTGCTGGAGCTGAGGGTACTGTGCCTGAGAGTTTGCCGCCTGGGGGTGCTGAGCCTGGGGGTGCTGCGACTGGGGGTGCTGAGCCTGCGGGTACTGAGCCTGCGGGTACTGAGCCTGGGGGTGCTGCTACTGAGCCTACGGAGCCTCGGGTTACTGCGTCTGGGGGTGCTCCGGTTCGGGGTGCTGAGCAGTCTCTCACACCGCAGCAGCTTCGTGACTGGTACGTCCGGCGCTTTCGCCGTCCTAGTGGCTCGGCTGGAGTTGGGGGTGCTGGGGCTGCTCGTCCTGGGGGTGCTCGTACTGGGGGTACTGGAGCTGCCGGGACTGGTTGTTCTGGGAGCACTGCGACTGGAGCTGCTGGAGCTGGGGACTCTGGCGCTGGCGGTGCTAGCGGAGTTGGAGCTGCCGACTCTGGGGGTGGCGCTGCTGCTGGTGCTGCGGACCCGCCTGGTGGAGCTGCTGCTGGAGCTGAGGACCCGAGCGGTGGCGCTGCTGCTGGTGCTGGGGACCCGGACGTTGGAGCTCCTGCTGGTCCTGCGGACCCGGCCGCTGGAGTCTCTTCTGCTTCTGGAGACGCTGCGCGGCCGCGAGAGTTACCGCTCCTTCAGCAGGTTCTTGGGCAGGCTCCTCCTCCTTGTCCTCCTCCCTCCGTAGAGTGTCCTCCGCCTGTCCAGCCGCAGTCACAGTTACCGCCTGCCTCGCCTCTCCCTGCTCCCTCTCCTTACGCTGGTCCCACAGGAGGTCTTACAGAGCGTCGTGAGCCTGAGTCTCGTCCTGTGTCGCCTGTTCGTCCTGCTCGCACTGGTAGTCGTGTCCGTCGTGAGCGTCCTCCTCCTGTCCCATGCACTCACTACATGACTCTGCGTCCCTCTACTACTCCTCGGCGTGTCCCTCTACCGTCTCCTCCTGCGTCCTCTTTGCCTGCCGTTCCGGACCCTGAGTCTGACCGGTATCGCGCTGAGCACCCTACAGTCACGCGTCTCCTCGCTACAGTTGTCACTGACCCGACCTTTGAGTCCTCGGCTGCGTCTGCTCTGGTCGCTGAGTTGGTTGACTTTGCTGCTGCCTGTCGTCTAGACTACGCTGCTAGCCTTGTTGCTGAGTCAGAGTCTGCGTCTGTCTGTCCTCCGTCCGTCGGGGGTGAGTGTGCTTTTGGCACGGACGTCCTTGAGGACAGGCAGGAGGACTTTGACTCTCTTGCGGCTGCTGTACCTCATCTCGTGGCCTGGTTGCTTGCCCCTGAGGGAGACCCGGATGCACTAGACATTCCCACTCCGCGCACTTACGCAGAGGCGATCTCGGGTCCCTACTCCTCTCAGTGGCAGACAGCCATGGACGCAGAGATGGCATCCTGGAAGTCCACAGGCACCTACGTCGACGAGGTTCCCCCTCCTGGGGCGAACATCGTCGATGGCATGTGGATTTTCAGGGTGAAGCGGCCGCCAGGTTCTCCGCCTGTCTTCAAGGCTCGTTACGTTGCTAGAGGCTTCAGTCAGCGTCAGGGGGTCGACTTCTTCCAGACCTTCTCCCCCACCCCGAAGATGACCACTCTTCGGGTTCTGCTGCACGTTGCTGCTCAGCGTGACTACGAGCTTCACTCTCTTGACTTCAGCACAGCGTTCCTGCAGGGCAGCCTGCACGAGGAGATCTGGCTGCGCCGCCCACCTGGCTTTACTGGGTCGTTTCCCCCTGGTACCCAGTGGAGTCTCCGCCGGCCAGTCTACGGTCTCCGCCAGGCGCCACGTGAGTGGCACGACACACTGAGGACTACACTTGCGGCTCTTGGGTTCGCGCCGTCTACTGCTGACCCGTCGCTGTTTCTGCGCACAGACACGTCGCTGCCGCCGTTCTACATTCTCGTGTACGTCGACGACTTGGTCTTTGCTACTGCTGACACTGAGGCACTCGCTCGTGTGAAGTCGGAGCTGCAGAAGAGACACACCTGCACTGACCTGGGTGAACTGCGTAGCTACCTTGGCTTGCAGATCACCCGGGACAGAGCTCGCCGCACCATCACCCTGACTCAGTCACACATGGTGCAGCAGGTCCTTCAGCGCTTCGGCTTCCAGTTCTCCTCACCACAGGCCACACCTCTGGCTACCAGCCACTCGCTCTCAGCTCCACCTTCGGACGAGTCCGTAGAGCCGAGTGGCCCGTACCCAGAGCTTGTAGGCTGCCTCATGTACCTGATGACTTGCACGCGACCTGACCTCGCGTACCCTCTTAGCATCCTTGCTCGTTACGTTGCGCCTGGGAGACACAGGCGAGAGCACTGGGAGGCTGCTAAGAGGGTGCTGCGTTACCTGTGCAGTACATCAGGCATGGGGCTGGTGCTTGGAGGACGTGACAGAGTTGTCCTCACTGGTCACTCGGACGCTTCTTGGGTGGACGACCTGGCTACGCAGCGGTCGTCACAGGGTTACACCTTCAGCCTTGGCTCTGGTTCTGTCTCGTGGCGGTCCACCCGCTCTTCCTCTGTTCTCGGCTCTAGTTGTGAGGCTGAGATCTACGCCACAGCCATGGCTGCACAGGAGTTACGCTGGCTCACCTACCTGGTGACTGACTTGGGAGAGCGGCCTAGTTCTCCTCCAGTTCTGTACGGTGACAACAAGGCGGCTCTTGCCTTGTGTCAGGAGCACAGACTGGAGCACAGGACGAAGCACATTGCTCTTCGCTACTTTCTTGCTCGAGAGCTTCAGCAGCGCGGTCAGCTTCGGCTTGTGTACGTGGACTCGAAGGCCAACACTGCTGATATCTTCACCAAGGCGCTCCCGCCTAGTGATCATCAGCGGCACTGTACTTCTTTAGGCCTTGTGTCCACGTTTCCTCACTTGCTCACTGCTTGACATTCTTTGTACTGTACTTTATATATATCTTGTTGCTTGCTTGCTAGGTTTTGATCACTGTGTTGCTTGTCTTGTACTTTATCTAGCACTGCATGTGAACTGGCCTTGTGGCCTTTACTTGTGCTCGGAGTGTGGTGACGTTGTGATCCACCCTGGGCTTTGCTTTGCTTTGCTGGACTGGTCTTGTGACCCTTTGTTCTCCCCCACTTTGCCTATGGGGGTGTGTTAAACTGTATTATGCTTGTAGGCTGTAGTGGGGTAGCCAATATGGGGTAAAACCCCAACTAGGGTTTCATATTTGTACCCAAACTTCTGCTAGTTCAATCATTCTTGCCTAGCTATTCTGAAACCTTCACGACAGAAAATTGTCTGCTCCATGATCTGCACAGGTGCGGCTGTTTTCGCTTCTCGCGGCTACAAACGTCCAAAACGAGGTTTTTTATTCAATGTAAAGACGTCATTTGTAATTTCGCAGACCCGCAATTATGCTCGAAAGTGCTTGGGAGTGAAGCGAGATCGATTGGTCAGGGACCTCCACGACGGAAAATTGCCTGCTCCATGATCTGCACATGTGCGGCTGTTTTCGCTTCCCAGGGCTACAAACGTCCGAAACGGGGTTTTCCCTTCAATGTAAAGACGCCATTTGTGAGTTCGCGGACCCCTTATTGTGCTGGAAAGTGACTGGGAGTGAAGCGAGATCGATTGGTCATGGACCTCCAAGATGGAAAATTGCCTGCTCCATGATCTACACAGGTGCAGCTGTTTTCGCTTCTCGGGGCTACAAACGCCCGAAACGAGGTTTTTTCTTCAATGTAAAGACGTCATTTGTAAGTTCGCGGACCCGCAATAATGCTGGAAAGTCCCTAGGAGTGAAGCTAGAGCAATTGGTCAGGGACCTCCACGACGGAAAATTGTCTGCTCCATAATCTTCGAAGGTGCGGCTGTTTTCGTTTCTCGGTGCTACAAATGTCAGAAACGAGGTTTTTTCTTCAATGTAAAGACGTCATTTGTGAGTTCGCGGACCTGTAATTAGGCTGGTCAGTGCCTGGAGGTGAAGCGAGAGCGATTGGTTAGGGACCTCCACGACGGAAAATTGTCTGCTCCATGATCTGTACTTGTGCAGCTGTATTCGCTTCTCGGGGCTACAAACGTCCAAAACGAGGTTTTTTTTTCCAATGTAGAGACGTCATTTTTGAGTTCGCAGACACGTAAATATGCTGGAAAGTGCCTGGGAGTGAAGCGAGAGCAATTGGTCAGGGACCTCCACGACGGAAACTTGCCTGCTCCATGATCTGCACATGTGCAGCTGTATTCGCTTCCTAGGGCTACAAACGTCCAAAACGAGGTTTTTCCTTCTATGTAAAAACGTCATTTGTGAGTTCGGCGACCCGGAATAAGGCTGGAAAGTTCCGGGGAGTGAAGCGAGAGCGATTGTTCAAGGCCTCCACGACCGAAAATTGCCTTCTCCATGATCT